GGGAGGCTCCTCTCTCACGACCAGCCGGCTCTCTCTCTCTCTTTCTTTCTCTCTCTCCACGAATCCTGTATCCCTACGCCTGCGCGCGCAGCGCCGCCACGGCCCGCCGTTCCGATTGGCCCGCGACGGGATGCCCGCGCCCCGTCAAGCGTCGTCAAAAATTCGCGATTGCGCGCCACCGCGCGTTACAATAGGCGCGCGAGATAGAAAAATCGCACGAATAGAAAATCTATCTGATACTCGGAACGAATTATGCTAGTCGATCCTGTAAAAGAATAAACGGATAATAAATACGTCACGCGCGACAATCGTGAATCGCGATATCGGCACGAGGGACGAAGCGGCGGGTAAAATGAGAATACGCGAAAAATACGAATTGGTAGCAGCGGCGGGGACGATAAACGCGATAACGGCGGGAATTTCTCCGATAGGACGTGTACATACGTGACTTACGCAAGATCGATTCGCGGATACGCGTTTCGGGAGGAATCAGTCATCGACGCGGGACGTGCCGGTCACGCGGTCCAATCGCCGCCAGGGACGTGGGGAAATTGCCTTATATGGGCAGCGGCGTGCGAACGATCTGTCCGGCGCACACGCGTCGCGACTGCGCGCCGAGTCCTTGCAACGCGCACAGAAACACGCGACTGCAACGTACCGCGATCGGTAAAACAGGGCCAAGAGCGTATCGAGACTTTCAGGCGCCTATGTGCGTCAAGGAATTTTCAATCCACATTTATACGGGGTCTACGATAAGTCGTAGCGGTCGTAGGGTCTTAAGTATAGTAGAAAATTGACCAATCATAGTCGATTATTCTTCTCATATTCGACTGCGATTGGTTAATTTTCTACTCGAGACCCTATGACCAGTACGATTTCTATTGTAGATCTCGCGTTAAGATTATCGATATTTATTCATCAAACTCCAATTATTTTAGTTATTAACTTCAAGTAGTATCAAGTAACACTAATTAATTATCAGTGTACTGTTAACATAGATACAATTATCGATTTTTTGTTGTATAACATTCAGAAAAAAACGACTGATGTTGTATAGAGAAAGTTATGTTTAATATATGAAAAAAAGATGAAATTAATTAAAAATATTACTTTAAGTGATTTTTTATCAACTGAATTAATCGATAAAAATTAAATTAGTTAAAATTTATTTTTAGTCGAGGCCGCCTTTAGATTTTCTGTTAGGGTAGATTTCGTGGAAGTACAATGAAAAGCAAAGATGATGCTCGATACAGAAATTATATGCGAAATATACCGTAACAAAATACAGAATTTTTTGACAAACATGATAATGCGCTTAGTCGATCTAAAAAATATATATATGAGATCGCCTAGTAGAATAAATACGAAATATATCCTAATAGAATAAACACCCCCATCCATGCACGCACACATACACACATACATGTATATATATTTTTAAATACTGTTAGCAGTTACATAATTTACAATATTATTACTTTTGTACATAAGAAAGTGGCATCGTTACACGTTTATTACAAAAAGATCAATGTATCTTGAGCAGACAATATATACTTTAAGATTTGCAATAAATGATATAATTACCGATAATGAAACCTACATATATGAAAAATACGTATTAATAAAGGAAACACGTATTGCAATGATAAAAAAACATTAGTACATATAAACATGAAATATCTTATATGCATGTGTGTTGTATATCTTGAACATTATCCCTACAGCACAAAGTTGCACACAAGTTGCAGCAACATTGCATGTTGCAGCAGCATTGCAGAGATTTTGCAGCGATATTGGTATAAATTCTGTGCTGTATGGGTTAATAGCAAATTATATATATATATATATATAAGTAAATAAAAATTATATATAATATATATATAAAATATATATTATTATCATATAAGATGCGTACAGAGTTACACATGAAGCGCATGATGTATCGTTTTATTCTTCTTTATTAATTGGTAAACAAGGACAAATAATTCATCATGTGCTTTATATCACGTGTAACTTGGAACGCACCCATAAATATATATATAATTTTTATGTGAGTTCATAATCTTATCCATTTCTTATCGTTTCTGAGTATTACAAGTATAAATATTACGTCTATTATGCTAGTACTCGGCGCGATAATCCTTATATGGCGATCATAGCGTAGAGAATTGTGTGGCTGCTCTCTGTACCAAAGATCCGAATTCAAATCCATGCCCAAAACATATATATTTATATCAGATTTTATTTGATCGTTAATCTCTCGGAAGGCAATGGCAAACCATCGAAAGTATTAATTTGCTATGACAACCTCTTTTAATAGCCTAATAGGCCGTTTGAAATCCAGCGTTAAAAAACTGTAGATTTCATATATTAATGTATATAGTGATATATGCAGAAAAGGTAATCACATCTCTAATAAGAGTACGTTCCGTTTTCATGCAGTAAATATCAGTTCATCCTTGTTGTCTACTAAATATTGAACAAGAACAAATGATGCTTACAAGCGCTGTAAACGAAAAACGGAACACATCCTTAGAAAGGATGGAAACAATGGAAAGAGAGAGAAAAAAAGTTCATTTTCTCGAATGCACAAATTTCACTATTGTTGTATTAACAACAATAACAGTGTAGAAAACGTATCTCTGTGTAACAGAATTGACTTTCCAGCTAAAATTGAAAGACGAGAGTGTCCATTAAGTCGGAGAAGCAAATAGTAGATTTAAAATAGACTGTCTATTTCCCCAACTTGTTGGATTCTGTAAGATTATAAGACAGTCTCATCTTTTAGTTTTAATTGGAAAGTCAAATTGTCAATTCTAGTATGCACAGAATATGTTTTCTGTACTTATTGTTGTTAATGCAAACAATAGTGAAATTAATGCATTCAAGAATATGATGAACTTTTACAAACATTGTTCAGATTTCTCTCTCTTTGAAATTATCGTCTCTTGTCAGTGGTGATCTCTTCTGTATATACCACTTCTGGATGTACGGGATCTACAGTTTTTCCAGACATATATTACATAAAAATAAGAAATCGCTTTCTACAGTTTTACAGTATTTAGCAAGAGCTACACAGTTACAATTTCTTGACAATATTTCCTAGATCAGGAAAATAATAATTTATTACATGGTTAGAAGAAAGTTTCTAAAGTTTCTTGTGCTTAAATATATCTCCCCGCCCCTAAATACATGTATGTACAATTTCGATAAAAGAAATATAAAGACAATGAAGACGCCTTATTATAATTTATAATATAATGTAATACGATGTAACATTCGTTTTGTACATATTTTCTACATGTCATATATCATAAATACAATTATAAAATCGTAATACATTTTGCACGTTTGACACAATCTTTTTTAGAATATTAAAGTAATAAAAAAATAAGTAAGCGATAAGGCAGTACATTAACCTATTTTTAAATAAATTTAGTTTGTTTCTTAATTTTCCAACAAGAGAATCGATATATATATTGCTAAAAAAAATACTTTTTTCTATCATTGCATCAATATTGTAGGATTTCAAATGATAAAAATTATAATTGAAAAACATTGAAATACTTATATACAGTTTTGCTTTTCCTCAATAGAAAATATTGAAGATGTATGAGTAAATTGAAAGATGTTAAAATGAAAATATATTGTACATAAATGAACAACACAAACAATATAACGTACACTACGTACAGAATACGCAAATTAAAAGATATAAGTTTATCTAATTGATATTAATATACTATTGTAGTATTTATGTTAATTATTTATATATATATATATAAATAAAGAAAATGGAAGCTATATATATATATATATATATAGCTTCCATTTTCTGATAAAATGACCTTTTAGCAAGATTTATTCTATTGTATACAACGCAAAATCTTATACCATTTACTGTAATCAAAGTTGATTTTTACATAAACGATTTGTAACAAATTTAGTCATTTGGCAAATAACTTGATCAATACAAATATGTCTTCCTTTTTTTCTCTATTTTTCATTTAAGTATTATGAGATATATGGTTGTCCCCCGTATTGGAAGATGTGTGATAAAACGTAAAATTATATTTTTTCACGTCATCTAAGTAATATACCTCAGTAATATACCTTATTCCTTAAGTACTGTCATCAATCAAACAATTATTCTACGTACACAATTATTGCACGTGTACAATTCTATTTTCCGTCCAACAGTGACATTGTCACTATCTGGAGTACATAATAGGAACCGATTCGTTGAAATCTTTTTGAAGAATTGGAACCTTAATTAAAATCTCTTTAATACATTGAGTGTGACGATGAATGGTGGTAGTGATTATCGATTCTTTTTATAAGTAATGGCGAATAAAGTGTGTAATGAAATTTTAGTTAAGTTATATACAGTAATGATCTCAAATCATATCCTACATAAATAATCCATACTTATATAATCCATATTTATATCATCTGTTATGTGCGTCGTATCTGTATGCAGATATAATCGTTAATCTGACATCATATTATAAAATTCTAAAAATCATTAGATATATAGTTTGTATCATTAATATTCCTTTATTTATTATATAACTGTAATACAGTACCACTTAATCCTTCGTGTATAGGAAACCATTACCACTCAACGTATCAAACAGATGAATTCTTCATTAATAATAACATTGCAAATATCATAAATAACCTAATCTCTCAGTCAATCATTATAAGAACGTATCCCCCGTTCTTGTTATTAAACAGAGCATTCGATAGATGAGGTGATATCTTTAACTACTACAAAATAACCTCGACAACTTAGCCTTATCATATCTTTATGACGTTTAAGACATATGAACTGTTAGATAAGACCGCGTTTCTTTTTGTAATCTTCTAAATTTAACGATCGGCGAGGTCCTGTATCCTTGATATTATTAATGGGCTTCGGTAAAACACTAACAGGATTGTCTAAAAATAAAAATGTATAAATTATATAAATATTTGTATTCCACGTATATATATTTCGTTTTATTTTAATTATTAGGCAAAAATTTATAATTTCTTACAATACTTCTTGCAAAACTTACTTGGAATAGGAACTTCCAAATCGATTGTTATATCAAAGTCATGTGCATTAAATAGATCTTCTGTACTTTGCTTCTTTTTAGATTCCTGTCCATTTTCTTTATCAACAGCTGACACTGAATCTCCAGCAGGATGAGGATTCGATTTATCATTTACTGGAACTGTTGCTACCACTTCAGACTCATCTTCCGGCTTATACACCATCCTTGGCTTAGTACTTCGCCTGGTGAATGGATCATCGACCTTCTTACCCTTATTAGCCTTCAGTTCTTCCTGTTATAACAAATTCGGTTGAAATTGAATATCATTAATCGATTGAAATGTCATAATAAAAATTATATCCTAAACATTACCATTATAGCTTTCTCAGCTTCCTCTACATTTTTCTTTCGATTGCGATCATTTATGTATGATATACTGGAAATTGTTGCTGTACGCATTTTATCCAGTTCTGATGCACGCTCTTCTAATTCACTCAATTCTTGATTGAGTCGACTAGCTGTCTCGTCATCTCCTCTGCAATTAGCAGCATCGCGTTCTCTCATCAGCTGTGCTTTTTTCATTGCGTAATTGTAGGGAGTCTGTTTGAATCTCTCCTTTTCACGTACTATTTTTTCTATATCCTCTTCTTTAAATTCGTATACCAGCGCTTCCTTAATGTCCTTTAACTTTTGCTCTACTTCGTCGAAAGTAGGCGTCGATATTCCTTGAAGCGCACAAGTTTCCTTCCACTTAAAGAATTCGGAATCCGTGAATTCTTGATTTGAGACAAACTCCAACCTGAATACACGTTCCTGTGCACCATGACGTAATTTCAATCCCTTATTCGTCCTTGTACCACCAAGTTGATAAATCTTTCCTGTCTCGCATACACCGCTTATCTCAGCTACTCTATAGACAGGTTTGCCGTTATTATTGCCGATTCCTATTCTGACAAAGCAACCTTGCACTACTCTGTCAAAGAAAGGTAAATGAACGAATCTCTCCATTTTGTGACGGGATAGTCGAATCTTATTTAGATCTTCCTTAGTACTGATATACACTGGTTTCTTAGGTCTAGCTTTGTTGCTAGTGATCGATCTAAAATAATGATATTGAATAAAAATATAACTGAATAAGAGAGAGATATGAAAAATATCATTGAATAAAAAATAGCCTAAAAACTTACTTTTTATCATTGTCAGAATCCGAATCACGACTTTCACTCGAAGATGATCTACGTAGAGTCGTTGGCTTAGCTATTTCTTCTTCATCTCCACTATCCGATGAACCACTGTCATCAGAATATATATCAGATGCCTTAAGTTTTGTTTTGTTTGCAGCAGCTTTATGATCATCTTCTAATTCTTCTTCCTCCATATCCTTTGATTGTTGTTGCTGCTGCTCTATCCTCTGCTTCTCTTTTTCCTCTATTAATAAAAGAATGGAATTAGAAATATTTGCAATATGCAAAGAAGGTAACAATATATAAGAATTCGAAAGGAAATAGGGCTAAGAGCCAAAGGTTAATCATTGTGAATTAAATTATTAGTATAAACATATCATAATAATAAAAAACACTTTAATGTCTGCTATAAACAATGAGTGACAAATTAAAGATAAATAAAGAAAAAAGAAGAGACGTTTCGATCCCTATCGGATCCTTATCAATGTTGAAATAAAATAAAATTAAAATTATACTACGATCTCATATTAACAATTCAGATGACATAATTGAAGCATGGTGCAATGGAAAACAGTAACACAATGTACCTCTGTATAAATGCACGATTATAATTTCTGTTGGGAAGTACACTAATAAATCGTATAAAGTAATAGAGCTAATCATATAAAATATAAGAGTAAACTACCATTAAAATGTTTTTTATTATTATGATATGTATGAAGGTTATCCGTTTCGTAGGTTTTCTCCGTGTCCATGTCCATTCTCGGAATGCCAACGTTTCGTGAACCTTGCAGTCCACTTCATCAGGGCGAGGAGCAGCCTGATACTAAAGTATGATACTTGAGGCTGCTCCTCGCCCTGATGAAGTGGACTGCAAGGTTCACGAAACGTTGGCATTCCAAGAATGGACATGGACACGGAGAAAACCCGCGAAACAGATAACCTTCATACAGAAAGCACCCGTGGAAGTCTCAAGAAGATTATTATGATATGTTTATACTAATAATTTAACTCACAATGATTAACCTTTGGCTCGTAGCCCTATTTCCTTTCGAATTTTTAAATTTGTTGAGCCTTATTACTCTCTATTATATATTGAATATATAAGAAACCTACCTCGTTCCTTCTTCTCTTCGCGTCTAGCTTTGAGCAACGACATTGCATGAAACTTTTTGTCTTGCTTTTCTTCTATTGTCTTCTTGCGATCTTTACTCCTCTCTTTAGGATCTGGGGCTCGATCTATTTTCTGCTTCTCTTCAATACCCTTCTCCTTCTTTTTCGATTCCTTTTGTTTTTTCAATTCCTGTTTCTTGGCCATTCTTAATTTCTTCTCAATCTCAAATCTTGTTTTCATAATTTCACGTTGTTCAATTCGTTTAAAGATTTCTTGTTCACGTTCTTTCTCAGTCATTTGTGCAAGTCTAGCTTGATCCTCCGCATCTCCCATAAGTTTGTCATCATAGCCATCGTTGAATTCTTCTTGGCTGGAACTGGAACCACTTGGATCTGAATCTGATACCTCACCTGTTACGATAAAGTGATTGTTATTTATAATAGCAGAACTAAAGAAATTATATATTCATATATTAAAAAAAAACAAAGTATATATTTGTAAAAGATTTAATTTCCATATACCTTCTTCTGGCTCCGAAAGCTGCTTAGCTGGTTCTTTCTCACTGGCACTGTCCTCTGAGCTGGACTTTGTCATCTTTCGTTTACTTCTCTTCGATGGCGACTTTTTCTTCTTTGTTTTTCCAGCTTTGTTATTCCAGTTGTCATCGGAATCTGATATATCTGAATCATGTTTGGTATCCTTCTTAATGGATCCATTATCCTCATTTGATTGAGAATCATCTTGGGACTTTCCTTTCTTTTTCTTTGCCAATGACAATAGGTCCTAAAATTTAGTGAAGAGACACATGCTCAATTACTAATGACAAAATCATAAAAAAAAAATTAAAACAGCTCAGTTCCATATTGCATTGTGCTTCATGAGTTTTAACAAGCTGCGACATATTATTATATGTTATTGACATTATATGTTATTGACATTATATGTGTTATGAACAATTATATTTTACAATTTATATTACATGTAATGTACTTCTTGCAATTACACATTTTCCATTTCGAGATAAAATATACAATCAGGTATTAAAAAGAAAAAAATCTAGATAATTTAAAAATAAAGAGCTAAAAATACATATTGTTTTATTTTAAAACATTCGTAATTCCGAAATTAATAATTTACAAGGAATTATTCAAGTACTGAAGATCCAGCTTGACTATTTAAAATTTTCATTACCTAGTTGTTGTGTATTTACATTACAGTCTTAAAAAATACTTTGTTTAATATTACATAAAATTCGTACATATATATGTTTATACACTTGTATCGGATATTACCGTAAATTATGCAAAGTCGCTTAGAACGTGAACGCAGTTTAGCGTGCACTTTGCAATTCGTAACAATGAACGGAGATAAACATACGGTAATGATAATGGACGCAGAAGTGAATGGCACAGGACTTTTACATTATAAAGGCTTAAGCTATTTACATTGTCCAAGTCCGAACTCGCACTCCCGCTACTGTCGGAATCTATGAGGGCCTGATGCTTCCTCTTGGGCATCCTGGCGGCCTGTGCCCGTCGAAGGAGAACGTAAACGATAAAATTTCAACGTGCCTCATACGACGCGAGCACGGGGAATCAGCCGAAGCAGCTTTCAGAAGCGTGTAGAGCAGAGATTCGAGGCAGAGAAAACAAATGGATACTACACGGGAAAAAGATCGTAACAACACCGATACCAAGCCGCAAAACGACAAGCTATACGTTGCGAGATGGAGGGACGGAGTCTCGCGCAAACGCAAAAGTGCCAGTGCTAGCAGACGCCGTTATGCAGCAGGCTTCACACTGCCAATAAAAAAATTTCCCACTGGGAAAATTAGTGCAACTGACGCACGCAGAGTGAACTTGTATGCAAATTAATTCACATATTTTCAGTATTAATAAATAATTTAACCCTTTTAATTACGTATTTTTTTTTATGTCACGATAACCTCATAACCTTAAAAGAATTAAATTATTTATTAATACTGAGAATAGATCTGTTCGCGTTGCTTGCACTTTTCAAGGCCAAATATACAGGGTGTTTCCAAATTAAATGGCAAAACTTCGGGAGCGTGTAGAGGAGTAAAAAACTAAGAAAAAAAGTCCTATAGACATATGCTTCTTTTTGCTTTGTTTCGCAGGAAATCACGAAAAAAGAAATGTATATCTATCTCATTTTAAGTGCAAAAATATTTGGGGATTTCATGCAACGCGAACAGACCTAATATATAAGCCAATTTGCACTCAATTGCACCAATAGATTTGTTCGCGTTGCTTGAAATCCCCAAAAGTTTTTGCACTTAAAATGAGATGAATATATATATTCGGGTATTGAAAAGAGAGAAAGCGAAGATACTGAGTATAAAAAGTGTACACAACGCGAACAGATCAGTAGGGCTATTCTGTAACTTTTAGGGCCACTTTTATCAACTCCGATTAACTTAATCGACTGATTAGTCCATTGGAATTAGCCAATCGCCATCTCTCGTTAAAGAAAATGACAAATGCGATTGATCAATTCCAATGGACTAATCGGTCGATTAAGTTAATCAGAGTTGGTAAAAGTGGCCCTTAACGACAATTCGGTATTGTTATATTGTCGATGCGCAGCTTTTTTATCATGTAAAATACCTGCGCAATGACATCCCTAGCTAGTAAAATTGTCGTTAAAAAGTTACAGGATAGGCCTACTGATGTTGCACTAGTTTTTCCGATAAAAAAAACGCTAGTTTTTCTCAAGACGAAAATGTTATCAGGGCCTCTATTCTTGAAAAGTGTCGCATACGTAAAACTAGGGAAATACCATAGCATATGTTACGTGCACTATAGTATTTCCCTAGGCTGCATTCCGTTTTACGTATGATGTGCATAACCCCGGATCTACAATAGGATTTAAGCCTTAAGTCATAAGAAATGGACGAATCACAATCGATTATTCCCCTCGGATTCGACTGTAATTGGTCAGTTTCTTACGGTTTAAGTCTTAAAACATTTATTGTAGATCCGGACTAATGTATCATTTATCCTTGGGTGCGTTTGGCTCTGCGCACAATGGAGAAAATATTAGGAACAGGAATAGATATTAAGATTTCAACCTATCAGAAACCGTGTATTCCAATGTAACTGGTATCTGATAGGTTAAAATCTTAATATCTATTCCTGTTCCTAATATTTCCTCTATTGTGCGCAGGGCCTTTCTTACATGATGTGCATAATGCATCATTTATCCTTGTTTAATATTCGATGAATAACAAGAATAAAAGATGCATCATGCGTATCATGCGTGAAACGGAACGCAGCCCTAATTTGTCGTATGCGATACTTTTTAAGAATAGAGGCTCAGCTAAGAACTCTAGGACCGGTATTCATAGTCGGTTCTTATTTTAAGACCGTCTTAAGTAATGTCTTAAGTCGCTAATACGGCCTTCTGATTGGTTCATGACTTCTTAAGACTGTACTTAAGACGGTCTTGAATATAAGATCTGACTATGAATACCGGCCTAGGAAGTGAATTCTCTTATTAGATATCGCATCGTCGTCGCAAGAACCAATCAGAAGCGTCAACAGTTGATGTTATAGGCTGCGTTCAGCAGCTCAACAGTTTTGCAACCGTTTTATGATTGTCTGTTGAGATAGGACCATTCTTCTAGATCTAAAAGTATGATCCAATCAGCGCGAAGGAAACTTACAACAGTTGCAAAACAAACGTTCTGCTGAACGCAGCCATTGTTTCCGATTAAGGGTGCCGTCACATGCGGCGTAACCTGCGTAAGCGTAACCTCTGCGTATTCTAGTAATTTACTAGAATACGTTATTTTTTATTTACTAGAATACGCCATTCTGAAAGCCGGCATTCACATTGGGCATATTTCGCAGAAGATTAGAGAAATGCGGAATTAATGCAACCAATTGCTGATTAGAATTTCTGTTGTACACTCTAACAGAAATGCTAAACGAATTTACGATTGGTTTTCGTAACCTACGCAACTCGAAAAGTATGCCTCATGGGGAACCGGTACTTTCTATCGCGTACATACAATATGCGTTGTACAAATTTAGAAGAAGAAAGTCTGATTTATAATGTGTGGCCGGTTCCCCATGAGGCGTACTTTTCGAGTAAATTACTAGAATACGCAGGTTACGCTTACGCAGGTTACGCCGCATGTGACGGCGCCCTAACTGTTATTTTAAAGTGAGTTTGCGACCGCATTGTAGACTCCGCGTGCGGCCTTCATGAAATTATATAAAACACGAAAGGTTGAGAAAAGTAAGTGCTGGGTTAATATTATAAATTTAGATTTATATATGTTTAAGCACGTAATATAATTAACGTAATTCTCTTTATATTTTAGTCATAATCCAAGTGTGAAAGAAATCCGTGATTCACGAGTATCTCGAATATGGAGAATCGTTCAATATCGAAGAAGAGGAAGGTTAGTAATATTTTCAAGAATTTATAATAAGTATAAAATATATAATAAATTTGAGAAGCATGGAAATATGTTCATTGCAATCCTGAAAGTTTTTGGAATAATATTTCGTCGAAATAAGGCGAATGCTAGAATCATAAATCGTGATGGAAATGCTTTCATTGTCATATGTGGGCTCGTGTCACATGTAGACTTCACGATTCCTGATTCTGTGTTTCATTATAAAATTATTTAAAATATATAAAATTTTTTAGAATCTAGATTGGTTAGCCTATTTTTGCAATTTTTTTGTTCTATGTTTGGTTTTTAACATTTTATGATAATTTTTTCAACATAATTTTTATGCTAAATTATATATACGATAAAGATAAATTAAATTCAATATTATTAATATTTACTTTTTTTTTATCTTCAGTTTGTAGGAGACGGTGTCTTCAGGGCTGAGCTAAACGAGTTTTTGACTCGCGAACTCGCCGAGGATGGTTATTCTGGTGTAGAAGTTCGTGTTACACCAAACCGAACAGAAATTATCTTGTTGGCTACCCATACACAAAGTGTGCTCGGTGAAAAGGGACGAAGGATCAGAGAGCTTACTTCTGTAGTACAGAAACGTTTTAACTTTAAAGAACCGCAGAATGTTGAGTTATATGCCGAGAAGGTTGCTACACGTGGCTTATGTGCAATTGCACAGGCAGAATCCCTTCGATACAAACTGATCGGTGGCCTCGCTGTACGAAGGTAAAGTTTAGAGCTTTATTCCATGTATTCTGTTAATCTTATTTTTTATCACATTCTTTCCATTGAAAATTTTGTTCTTAATCAGGGCATGTTATGGTGTCCTGCGTTTCATCATGGAGTCAGGTGCTAAAGGTTGTGAGGTGGTTGTCAGTGGTAAACTGCGTGGCCAGAGAGCAAAATCGATGAAATTTGTTGATGGCCTAATGATACACTCGGGCGAGCCGACTAATGAATATGTGAACGCCGCCACCCGGCATGTGCTTCTTCGACAAGGTATAATTGCATTATCATGATTATTTTTTTAATTCGTAATGTAATAATGTACTTATAAAATTTGATTAGAAATATATATTCAGTTTATAACATATAATAAAAAATGTATGTTATATTTTGTATTATATTTATATTTTTTATTCTGTATTTTATTTTTTAAATATTTCAGGGGTATTGGGAATCAAGGTTAAAATTATGCTTCCTTGGGATCCTAATGGCAAGAGTGGCCCCAAAAAACCTCTTCCGGATTATGTATCTATCGTGGAGCCGAAAGAAGAGGTACCACCATCAGTTCCGATTTCTGAAGTGAAGCCGTCCAAGGATCTACCTCCACCCACTCCTATTGCCGTGTAATAAAATGTAATAATCATTTGAAATACATTTGGAAGAAAGTACAAAAAGTGTTTTACTCTTAAAAATATTTCAAACGTTTTTAATCGAAAGAATTTGTCGACTGTCTTGACAATTTAACATATATTTTTATTTATAAAATTATCCATTATTTTAAACATGATGAATATTTATCAAATGAAAGTTGCTTATCTCGAAAATAGTTTGATCCATTTAATCGTCCTATAATACAGAAACAATTGTAGCGAATTCGACACTCAGTGCGTACTGATGCACATTAAAGCCGTCGTACACAAAATAACAAAAAGATATATTTATAAATAAATATAGAAATTGATTAAATCTTGAAATACCCAATACATTTTATTGTACTATTAGATAAAATATGTATTTCATAATTCGAAATATTTGCATTTTATTTTTATACTCAAATTAAATCAGTGTACAACGGCTTTAATATACACCAGTGCGCATTAGTGCTTCCAATCGAATTCGCCATTAGATAAGCGATGTCTACTACCTCTATAGAGTGCATTCCACGGTTCTACTTTGCATTTGCAAGTTTGCAACATCAAGTAGGAATTCTTATTTGATAATTAATAAACAACAAGGATGAATTGTCGTTTAGCAAATGTGAAACAAGGATTTTACTTGTAAACGCCAAGTGGAAAAAAAATGTATACATATAGTATAGTATGAGAATATTATATTTTTATATCCCCATTTATATTTTATAATCCCCATAAATAATGTCCACGAACATGGGAGTCTTTCTAGTCTTTCTCTAGCGTAATTGTCGGGATAAAATTCCCCTAGAGACTCCGCAGTGTTTTCAATCGCAGCAATTACTACGGAATGTGGTAGCCCGGCTGCTTGGAGCCGGACAGAGGGGGTGGGAATAATAAAACGTTAGGCGTGTCGGCGTCTATTTTTTACGCGTTCGACGCCGAGAATCAACGATTTCGTCGATCGTTCCGGTACCGATCTCACATCGTACCGGTGAGTGACGGCGGTAACCTGTTCCCTACGAATCGCATCGACCGGATAACGGAATGTCAAGGGTGCACGTGACCGCGACGCCGCGACGCTCCGAGAATGCCTGGATCGTGGACGCGCGGCGATAGCGTACCTTGACGAGGTAAAACTGGGTAAAACGGAACATTGGAGCTGATCGAGGCTACGTCGTGCGGCGTCGCGATACATGTGTCCGCCGTTCGTCCGCGCGCGAGAGAGGGTATGCTCTTATGGGGTAGCGAGCGGGCGGTAGCCTTTGTCGTGGAATGGAGACGGAGAGCGTAAAGTCTGGGGCTAGCGAGCATAGCCATAGCCACCACAGTAGGAGCTCCCAGAAGCATCATAGATCTCACAGTTCAAAACAGCATCACAGGCAGTATTCTCACCGCACCACTAGGTATATCCCATGAATTTTATCTAATCGTCCTAAAAAAGTTGGTGTTTTAATGATTCTCCGAACGTGGTGTCTTGCAATGATTGTATACAATAGAAATCATAAGAACTCTTCAGCAGTCGCTATTTTAGTATTGACGAAATAAGTCGCTAGTTTTAGTTGTACAATTGTATAACTGAATGAATGGAAGTAAGTACTTCTTTCAGTTCCACAATATATAATCTGGATTCATTCTTGTCATTGAGAAACCAAGGAAGCATGATATTATACAATAAAACCAGCGAGTTATTTCAATATTAAAATTATGATTGTTAAAGATCTCTTATTTGGTTTTTATTAATCTTTTGTAACTTTCTGTGACAGGAGCAATCGAAGTCAAAGAAAAGAGAGACAGAATTTGGATACAAGTGAAATGGCTCCGTTTCAAACGACGGTGAATGTACGAGGAGACAGCGTAGATAACATGGGCCAAGAAGTGATTGAGGTGCAGATACTGCCTCAGGATGAGAATTGGGGAGAGAACACTACAGCCATCACTGGCAATACCTCTGACAGGTCAGAATCGACCGAGGATGTAAGCCACTGGCCAAACGAAACCGATAGCACGTTTGGTTCCAGCTGCAATCGCTATGTTGGTCCAATCGTGGCAATGATACTCGGGATAAGCGCCTTTCTTAGTCCTATAGCCATGGTCATTTTGCCTAAACTGGGATTCTTTCCCGACTCTACAACGGTACTGACGATGCAGCAGAAATTGCATCTACTGTCATGCAACGCCGAGTGCAAAGGCGAACTGCTAGGATTGGCCTTCAAACTGGTGCTACTGGTCATCGGTAGCTGGGCAGTGTTCCTGCGTCCGCGAACCACTACTATGCCACGCATATTTTTATTCAAGGCAGGAGTGCTGCTGCTCACCACCTTGTGCATTTGTACTTATTGGCTTTTTTATGTTGTACAGGTAATCGTCCTGTGGATGTGATTCATGCAATTATATGCATTTTCCAGATATATAGTGTTTTTGATCGCAATGGATTTGGATCGATCAATCCAAAAGCATCATAACTTTATCCAATCAAAAATCAAGAACACATTAATCGACTTTTAATCGATTCAAATCCACTGTGGACAAAGATGCCAATAGATGACACTTTGTAACACAGAATTATTTTATCTTTGCTTAACATTGACAAACAACAGGGGTTATATAAAAGTGAATAAATTTACTAGAATATTTATAATTTCATTGGTCAACACCTAATAAATTCGCTTACTTTTGTAATTTTTATCTCATTTCGAGATATAAAATCAGAATATAATGATTCACTATATTACAAATATGTCAGTTGTATCTTTTGCTAGAAAACACTATCTTTGCAAATATATATATATATATATATATATCGTTACTAAAGTATTCGATATTTTTCAGGTCACCGAGAGTGCTAAGACTGTTGCCAATGGCGAAATAACAGAGTACAAAAGTTTAGTAAATTATGCAGGTACCC